TGCACTTCAACTCATTAATAAAATTAGACTAGCTCTAGTCCTATACACTTTCCGTCACAGTACGGTGCAAGAATGAGCAAACTACTGAGGGCGCCCTACCAACTATGGCGCGGTCAGTCGACAGTGAGGGACTTTCTTACAGTCCGTAAGGCGGTGGTTTGAACCGATTTGTTAGGGAACGGGTTACGTGTTTGTTGAGGATATCTGTTTTTGGGCAGGATTGATGGGCCAATTTCATCGTCTAATTTACAAGGAGAGCAGATGTGCGTTGCCCTAGAAACCAGTATTTAAACCAGGCCGATTTTGTACTGGTGAAACTGTTCGAATCCCAGTGCGTGTTTTGTCCTGTGAACGTGGGTTTACGGTGAACAGAAGTTGTAAAACCAAGAGTCGATTTTTCAAGAACTTCAAGGAACGGGAGTGCACCGGCTTGCTTCATCTCACAAGTGAACTTAAGCGAGGGATGGAGATCATTAGGCCTAAGGCCTACAAATAAGGCGTTGCATGCCACGGTTAAGTCAAACATGGCAAACGTATCATCCACGTGACGATAGTATACAAGTAGTGTGCATGCCGCGGGCAAGTTGCAGACATTTTGTTTTTATGGTGATTTACATTTTTTTTGGCAAGAATGGGGCCCAGCAGTGGGCCCCATGGCTACGTCATCGGTCTGTGTGTACACATACAGTAATTGGAATTAAACACAACACCGTTTTTGCCATATTCATGAGTTCAACGAAAGCGGGTTCAGACAATGAAGGTGCATCGAGAACACTGTGATCTGAGCGCAGATTTGAATTGTTTCTTTGAGGAGATCGTCGTTGCTGCATTCGAAGAGTAAAAGAGTAATAAAACGACTAAAAGAGCAATACATTGAGCAGTTTGTATACTTGTTCGTATATATGAAGAGTCTTCTTCCCGTATCGATCAAATCTTGGTAGCCATAGTAAGCTAAATGCAAGACCGTTAGCACATGGGCACCCTCTCTCCTTTAGTGTCCAAAGGTTAAGTCGGACCAACGCTCACTTCCAACGTACACAATGTAATCATTAACACAATAGTCCGCCAACACAACTCAACCCCTATGTACAGCCCTTTGTTTTGGAATTATCACTCCCAACCCGGTCCTTTTGTTTAGGGATTATCGCTTCCTACTTCCTAATTACTTTTGGACCTCCCTGTAGGCCCGTCTGTATTGTTTCCATGACGCCACACCTTCGACTAATCCACTATTTTTTTTTCATAAGCAAGATAAAATTGTACCCAAAATTTTTACCTCGTTCTATGCTTTATTCCCATCTTATCCCATACTCCTGGATCAACCTGTGCCAGACTTTCTGACCTTATGCCTATCCCTTACCAAAGGTCAATCTGTGCCAGAATTTTTGGCCCTATCTTCATTCCTATTCATATTTTTATGATCATAATTATTATACTTATGCGTATTAATGCCACCATCTCCAAAGGTCAAATTGTGCTATATTTCAAGGTCAAAGTGTGCCCAACTGACCCCCTCCCACTACTAACATCAGTATTTGTAGATCAACATCAATTTAAAAAATGAGGTGTACACTATTTCGAAATTCCTCATATGCTCTGGATTTAAGATCATTCGTCACTCTTATAGAGAAATTGGCATATAAAACTGATCCTCCTATTTTACCTTCTGTGTTCAAGAAATTTGAATCATTTTGTAACTCGAGAATCCACGTTAACATCTAAACAATAAATTCCCCCATAACAATTATTAATCGTGACTAATTTGAACCTCAAAATGCCACAATTAGACAATGCACAGATTCCATGGCTAACTACATTGTGCTCTTTTTAGGCTTGGCCAAACTGCATTTGAGTGCGGGTGAAGCCATCCTTTCAACATTTACAGAGCAACCACTCGACACAAACCTCACTACTATCTTACAGCTCATCCTCAGCATCTAGGTTTTTAAACCCAACAAATCACTCCTTAAGTTTTTGCAATATCTTTGCATCCTTTCTTCACTTAAGTGGCAGGCATCTTTCAGCCATTTTGGGTAGTTTGTACGCTTCTGGACAAATGTTTCAACTGATGGATACCCCTTCGCCAAAACCTGTTCGAACAGTGAATTGAAACGACGTTGCGATGAGTAAATGTACCCACAGATACTTGTCCCGGCCTGTTTGCTCCCAAACGCTTATGGTATGGTGTCTTCACGCTGCAGCAAAGAGGGGTTGCTGGGTGCCCCTCCTGCTGTTGGGGGGGAAAAGCCCTGTGAAACTATCATTAGTTCTTCGTCGGAGGAAGATTTCGGTGCGCGATTCGACCTCACTCTCAAAGGATTCAACTATGGGTGGTAATACCTCGAAGGTCTTCTCAGGTACGTCTAGCCCCCCCCCCATCTAGGTATAACCATTTGCGATTCAGCCACTTCTCAGAGCAACCATAAATAGGGCAGACTGCAAGCAAGTGGTTTTCGCTGCATCTTACGACAACGTACTGCTCTTCATGAAATGCATCACTCAGTTTGTGCCTGCCTGTGAAAGCACATTTCTTGACGCGGACTCTACTTCCAACTTTTATTGGTTCACCCCAGCTACGGGAGTCATGACTTCTCTTCCTTGATTCTGCTGCCTTAAGAAGACATTCTTTGGTGGTGATGTACGCCCTTTGAATGAGCTGCACTTGCTGTTGTACAAAGTTATCTTTGTGTTCGTGTTTGGCTTTGCCAATCACATGGTCCAAAGGGATGGTAGATTCTTGTCCAAACAATAGGGGGGAGGTACAATGCCAAATGTTGTAGATGAAGGTTTGACGTGATAAGAGCTCGGCCCATTGCTTCCTTTCCATGCTGTCCAAGGATCAAATGAGTGAGCAAAGTGTTCTGCTCCACCACTCGGTTTGGCCATTCCCTGTTGGATGATGTGGACTTGTGCGGGATTTTTGCAGGCCGTACAACTTCACAGTTCTCTAACCAGGTTACTCTCAAAGTTGCGACATTGGTCGGGGTGAATTTGAACAGGGACCCTATATTAAACGCGAAAACCAACATGATCCCGCGATACTCTTGTAACGACTGTGTCAGTTTCGTCTTTGCACGGAATTGCCAATGCGTACTTACATGTAGTGTACTTACATGTAGTGAAACAGTCAGTCAATCACAAGAACCTGTTCAAAGCCACCCGACCTCTCTCCAGCTGTAGGAAATCTACTGCGAGCCTTTCCATGGGTTTGAATGCAAGTAGATGGCGCATTGCTGGCCTCACTGTCGGGGTTGGAGCTTCAGAAACTGCATCTGAAACACAAAATGTTATCTTTCACGTGCTTACCGACCAAAATGCGCATATCATCAGCAATGACTGGGTACGATTCACCCCCTGAAGTGCCCATTTGTCTTGAGCAAATTCTAACATGGTACCTCGGAGTTTCCCGGGAACCAACAAGTGTAGAATTGTACCCAACACAGAATTGCTTGTATAGAATCTTGCTTGTATAGAATACCATTTTCTCTACAAATCTGGTTCACTCTCAGCCAACCGCCCATGTTAGGTGACCTTTTATCTCCATTCAACTCTACCTGCCAGGGTTGCCCTCTGATAGACTAACGTCTCCAGATCTCACGGAGTTCACCGTCTTCCTTTTGTAGCCGACCAAGTTCCGCAGAAGAAAATGAATTTAGTTGTGATGAGGTTTCACCATTGACATTGCATGTTCCTCGGATCCGATTCTGTTCGAGAACACAAACTTCTCTTGTAATAAATGTGCCTTTGACCTCTACGAGCTAGGACCCCTCTGCTTCAGCCTGGATAATGTAGCGGTCAGGTCCTTCTGCAGTTGTCAGGAGGGTGGAGATCCGTCTGCCAATTAAGGAGGACAGGAGGCGCAAAACCAGGCCAAAAATGGACTCGAGGCAACTGTGGCTTGATTCCTTTCGATTTATTCCCAGGTGTCAATCAGCAATGAAACTGTAATCAAAAAGAAACCAAGAAAAAACCCCAAAGAAAGACAGGGGACATACTATTAATGAGTGATGGCTTACATGTACATCGTTATAAACGTTACATTCGCTATGTCCATGATAAATTCACACTACGAAATGTCTCTGTACAATAATAAATTCTCTTATGCTGACGTCTAAAAGATTGCCCAAATTGGTATGAAATTATAGGGTCACCAATTTATAGGGTGGTAGTCAGTATTGATTCAGCGTTGTTACCAACTTTATTCGCAAGAACGACCAAGAAGGTTGTGATAGAATTGTAAGCTAACTGTTGACTGAATTGGAGAATTGAAAAGCAGACTAATACTGCATACTGGATACTGAATACTGAGGAGCTGTACAATGATGCAGGACATATATACAAACAAGATGTACTTAAAGTCAAAAAACTTAAGAAAGGAAAGTCTTAGTCACATGTCTTAACTGGATTCTTAGAACAATGACTGTGAATGAATAATTTCACCTTAAAACGAAGTCTTTCGTGGATGATAGTACAAGCTTAAATGAAGCATGCTGTAGTGTGTCTCAGCCTCTGGGCTAACAAGGTCAAATAGGCGGAAACAATATACACTGTAAAAGACACAGTGTGAGTGTACTCTTACAAGGAAAATGCAGTGAGTAATGTGTCTAAGAAATGGCAAACAGGATATATACAGGAAATGAAAAAGTCATCAAAGTTAAAAATGAAGATTCTGAATGCCAAATTCACTAAAGGAAATAAATGCAAATAATTCAAGTAATTGTGCAGAAAACGCTACAAACTCTATATCCAACGGAAATTTAGGGCTTAGGTTATCTCACAGAGAGCCATGTTGCTGTGACAGCCAGCCCACCAAGGTGCAGGTCTCAAGCGTGGGACTATCACTGAGAAAAGTCCAGAAACTTCTCAGGTCCCGCCAAAATGTAATACAATGTAAGCAACTTCCGGCCGAAGGGCGTAGCTTAGAGATAATTTAGTGTGCACGCGGCAAGGGACCCTCATACTCACGCATTGATCTCGGGCGAGAGACCAGCAGGTCAGAGTTCATATTTGTATCAAAAGTAATTATCTCACCGAGGAAACCCCAGATCCCTACAATAGCGACCGAGGGCGTCTGAACAGCAGCTTGACTTTCCAGTGCGGTCCTTCATTTCCATATTGAATAGTATTAATTTGACCAACCATCAGCTTTTCATTTTTTATATGAACGAGCGGGATATTGTCAGTTTATACTCTGGAAATTTTCGGAGACAGCCCACTTCAACCCTAGCAACTCAAACTTAAAGCTTGAGACGTCTGAGTAGTTCTTTTCAGCACCTCGGAGACTACGGCTAGCATATGCCACAGGATATTTTAAATTCCAGCATCAACTTCCAGTGCGAACCCCTTATCAAAACAAGGATAGCAAATACAGGAGCTTTACAGAGGAGCTGTTTGAGTTCTTTGAAGGCCAAGTCGGCCTCCTCTGACCATGGGAGACATCAGTTGGCCTCCCCGTTAATCTTTTTTTTTTGTCATCTGCCCCATTTGTGCCCATTTCTGCCCCATGTATGTGCCCTGGTATATTATGTGAACACTATCTCCAGAGAACTTGATGAGTCCTCCACGATAAGACCATCAACATGGCAAGAGCCATCCAAGGTGGCCAGCTTACTATATGGAAAAGGAGTACAAATCTCAAAATTGTTTCCAGAAAAAAAATCTGATGGAAAACCTCCTCCAACTAATTTTAGTAAGCTCTTGAAAAAAATTTGCAAGTTTCAATTGTCCCCTTACATTAACACTGCGGGAAGAGTCACGGAATAACAACCAAATCTCTGAAAGACGATGGAAATGCATAATTGAGGAACTAATTATAAATGCAGTTAATTCTACAGAAAGGCAAGCAACAACGAAAGCAACCAATCTTATTGCCAGCCTCAAGAAGGAATGCTACAGTAAAACAGAAATTGAAAGTCACCATGCCAAATTAATGAAATGAAGCTACACTACAAGAAGAAAATTTTTGAGCCGAGCTACGAATGCACAAAAGGAATACCACTGAGGATAGTGCAATAAAGCAGATGTGAATTAGGGCACTAAGTTCGCCAGACAAGGATTTCAAGTACGAAGTACCATGAATTAAAAACATCCGTCAAGAAAACATGGAAACGCTTGCACAGCAACAGATTAGTAAGAACAAACTCAAAACAGCATCAACTAAATATAGTGCTAAATTGAAAGTGAGGCTCGGTTGCAATATGAAAAAGATATCAGGAGAGCTTGTCACAAATGTTGGTGTAGCTCTCCATCCGTCACAACCACATAGCTGTGTGCCTCCCAGATGGTATCATCACAGACAATGAACTAAAGTTAATTAAATTTAAATGTCCTTTTTCTTATACAGATTCAGAGATTGTAAACTGGCAAACTTTAGCATTTGATATATTTCCTTTAATGCAACATGGCAATGGCACATGTAGATTAACTGCTAAGAGAATTGTCAATTTGAAAGCTGTATTTACGGGATTCCTAATGTATTTCTTATTTATATTGGGAAGCCCTTTGAGTAAAAGGAAAAAAGATAAATTCCTCTCACAGGTCTCGGCTACAAGTTAACAGCAGCAAAAGCAGCTACAAATGAAAAATGGCTCTTAGAATATTATCATCAAACTGACATATACAAGGCTTATTGTTTACTTTTGCAGAAAATTCACTCGGTGCGTGAATATGATTACCTTGTTTACCAGCACAACCTAGAAGTTGGGTTTTCTTGTGTAGTTTGGATCCGTTGTGTATGTATTTGAAAAAAGGGAATAGAGTTACTTTACATGTATTATGTACATGTGTGATTTGCCAGCCTACAATGTGGAGGATTTGAGGCTCACACTTAACAGGATTTCACAGAGAGAGCTGAAGCAACTTTAGTTTCTAGTTTTAGCCATTATGATTTGAAAGGGAGTATAGTGCATTATGTATGTCATGTGATACTGAATATATATTCATATGTGGAAGGTGTTATTTTATATTTTGTTACACACATATTGAAATATGTGAATTTGGTGCTGACCTTGAACCCATGTATATAGATGTTGAGTAATATTTTGTTATGTTGAAAATAGATCAAGTTGATTAACCAAAGTTACCCTGTGCTTGTGGATACATGTGTAACTGAATTGCAGACCTTATGCATGGCTGTGTAGTGCTGAAGACTTTATTTCAGACGATTTCAAAGGAATGTGCCATACTTGTATCATGATGATTATATTTTGGGTCACTATACTCACTTGGGGGGCCAGGTGCCTTGAAGTAGGGAAGTTGTCATGGATGCAAGTGCGCCCTCACTTGACAGTCGTAGTTTCCCGCGCACGGAATATGATCTCGCACAGCCTAGCTGAACTGTCAGTCTTCAAGCAAGAATTAAGCGAATCATTTTATCCATCATCAAGAGTATCGTCAAACAGCTTGTTAGTTATTGTGAACATTCAGGACTGGGTGAGTGTAATTTACAGATCATAAGTTGTCAATTGTGTATATTGTTTTGGTCAAAGCTTGGCTCTGTTTGTTTGGAATTGAGGTCACGATTATTGCTGTACTCAACCTGCATTAAGTGCACGCAGGCACTGTAAACGTTGTATCGATACATGTATTTACGTGTGTTTTGTGCCCTGCCATCATGTACATGTATGTTATACATGAACTGTATGTGTGCACACAAGAAGTATATTTTGCACTGTTGGATTCGTTATACAGGGTGTTTGTTTATGATTGTACGGGTAAATAAATAACCAGATTACTCTTTGCTAGTACAAGTTCAAGTTGTGTCCTTGGCTGAATCACTGCTGCAAGTCTGTCTCTTAGACGTGGTCTGAACCGGGATTCATCTTCCATCCAATGAAGTTCACACTCCAAAAAATCCTGGGGCTGCGCAAGTAGCTACCATCACACCAATACCTATATACAACATAACCCAAAAGGGCAATTCCACCCATCACAAACACGAGTTCTCTTTCTTTTTGATCCTCTCTGGGTGTATTAAAATCGCTCACTGTGGGTTCAGGCTCGAGATCCAAATGCCGCGTGCGCGTGATTTCGCTATACACCATCAGCGCTTCGTCTGCATTTTGAAACGTTTGTTATGACGCTCACATTTTTTTAATTTGCCCATTTAAAAAGTTGGTGCGATGTTTTACCCATTCTTGTTTGGCTTTGGCCAGACGTTCTACCGTTAAATCGTGTCTTTTGCGTTCTTTGTCGACCAGATTTTTCAAATCAAACTAAACAAAATTATATCCCATAAAAGGTAAAACATTCACCAGCGCTCCACCGACCATTATTGCAATACCCGCCATCTTTTAATCACAAAGGTTTTTTAAAAACTATTTTTTAAACCATATTTTTAAGACAAAAAATGCATGAACTACGGTAAAAAACTCAACCCAGACCGGCAACTCTAAATACCAAGAGTGATCAAAGCGAACGCAGAGAGGTCGTAATTATACTCAAAACCCTAGTACAATCGCTGAAAATTAGAAACTAATCGTTAAATTGCCTCCGTTAGGCATCGACGTTTAAACTCGATCTAGACGGAGCAACAGACGACAACCGAACGATTTATAACAACTTGGCGAGAACTTGATCAAAGAAATTGCCGTGAAACTCTACGGCAACTCTTTTTTTAACCTATATGGATGCCAACGTGTTTCATAACTTTCAAGATAATTGGCTACCTGCGACACAAACCAACAACGTGGCTTATTTCGATTTAGAAAGAGAAAACGTAGCCAAAACTCAGACTCGGAGCTAACGATTCCAGTGAGCAATCCAACAACGGAAAGACAAAGTCAAAGCCAGACCTTTTGGCAACCGATACGCGATCCCAATCGATTTCGAGATGTTGATTGATCACATGCCGTTTTTGCATTCGGCTTTGAAGCAACCTTTGACTTACATGCTCATGTTCAACGATCGTAACAAAGTCGTTAAATCGAGCGAAACCTCAGCTC